GGAGACAGGTGATTGTCTTGGCAAGAGGAAAAAGATGCAGAAGGCAAGAGAGCTTGTTAACAAGCAACCAAAGTGAGTTTTACATCCATATTAAACAATTAAATACTCAACCGCTGGCATCAGAAACTTTGAGGCAATGAAGAAGCACTATCGGTTGGCTGCATGTCAGTGCGTCCGCTTTACGAATGCCTGGGTCACTACTCAAGTGACTTTGCTTCATGGTTTCAAATTGAGAGGCATACTAGAATCCCTGGGTAATGACAGCAGTGACAATGGAGATGATGACAAGGATGAGGATGAAGAGGATACTGATGAGGATAAGGAGACATCTGAGTGAGTGCTACATTCCTGCGCATATACTCGTATCTCATAGTTTTTGTAGTAATTTTATTGGGATGGCTGTATATGACACTCTTGTTACACACATCTTCCCAAATATTGAAGAGAACGTCCGATGGCTCGAAGGCCTGGGAGATCCTGATGATCCTCTGCAATTCGTTTTTGAGCTGCTGAGTTCAGTGAGTGGTTATCCTTTCTCAGGTATTGATGTACTCGACATTTGTAGATCAATGCTGGAACACGAAGCGGACAAACGGATGACACTAGCAAAATCAATGAGAACATCATTCATTATTCGACTACAAGTATCTCTGATGACACTCCAGTCCTTGATATCAAGAAGTATCGACGTGGATTCAATCACATCCACACAGCCCGTCTTCTGTGTCTGCAATGGTGGCTCAATGACTTTGATGAAGACCCACAGTACGTCCTTACCTCTATTCACATGTTTATTAATCTCTCAGTTCAACTGTAAGAGCTATGATGGTCAATTTACCAATGAAAGTTACTCCCCGGTATCTTCCCTCCTTCCTCTATGATCAGACCCTTGTCGATGTGAACGACCCTTGTGCTGGCTTATTTGTGGGGCAGACATGCATCCGGGTTTGATTTACATTCTTATTGCGATGATATTATGCTAAGTAATGTTTCTTCCAGTCGTTCTGTGCTATTTATCTTGGAAACGGGGAACACGATGCAACAGAACTTCATAATACAGTCAAAAGCAAGATGTCCCTTTGTGTGGTCAGTGCACAAATGGTGGTTTATGCAGCCATACAGGTGTGTTAGCCTCTTGTCATCATTATGGCTCTTAGCTTCAGTTCCAGTCACGCTTTGCCCTATCTTCCTGTGGGAAATGGGGTGAAACAAGTGATGACTTCGATCTCGAGCGATTTAGCGACAAATTACTCAAGATCTTTTCCGATTCGCAAGAAGAGGAGGGTGATGACTGGGCCACAGACACACTTAAGTATTATACCACGTGTGTGCCTCTTATTTTCATCTTTCCAGCTCTGATACCTCCCTTCACAGCGAGGTCCTCAAGCCCAAGCCCAAGGATGACAACAAGGAGGAAATTGATGATGACGATGACAAATCAGTTCTGGATCGCCTCTGCCAATGGCATATCAAACAACAACGACAAGCTGCTGCTGCTGCTGCTGCCCAGCAAGAAGATGCTGCCACTGCGAATGAAGATGAACCTGTAAATGCTTCGGAATGATATGGCAAGTTCATTCTTGAACATGATTCCATATCGAGCTAAATCAGCTACATAGTGATGCATTCCCTTTCTCGATGATTTGGTCTCTGCTTGGTCATGCTACTCTTGGTCTCTGGTTGCTGTACTTTGTCTATGGCTCTCTCCTCATTTCTCGATATGTTTGCTGGTCTTCTATGCTTATCCTGTAATATCTCCTCTTTCTGCTGAATGTCATGTATTTGTGTCTATGAACAGCGAAGTCGAGCAAGCATATAAGTTATTACAGGTATATGAGTGTCATGAACTTGACATGAACAGTGGCGTTCTTCTTGGATCAAGCTCGCCATATCTGAACATGTGGTCCTTGCAGTGAGTAGGAAGATCGCATCAGAGATCCCCTGAACATACGAGAAGGGTCCAGATTGTGCTCAGATTGTGTGCAGTTCAGGTCAATGGGAGGTCAAAAGTCTGGGGCACCTGGGCCAGATTGTCCCGATCGGTGCTGATTGCCCAGACCCTGTGAGGTGAAGGAGATTGTGAGTGGTGGGGATGATCTGTACCTGGTCTTGAGGCTGAGGTTTTGGTGATGAGTAGTCTCATGCCTTACTCCAGCACACATTGCAACCATCCATGCTTATCTGCATGAGCCTTCTCGGGCCTCCATTTCAGCACCAGCTCTAATCATCGGTATCAAAGCGATGCAGAATCTAGATGCTCATCACTCGGCACCCTTCGAACCACTGGCTGACGATTACAAACTCTAAGCGGAGACTTGTTCATGCAGTGAGTGCATCGCATCGTTCAGTTGCAATCTGTATGCTATGGCTACCCCGAGGCTCTGCATACTAGTTGGACAAAAGTGATCAGCATAAGTAGCAAATGGGCACCAATGGCCTAAGCTCACAGCACGATACCCTTAATTTTTACATCTGTTCGTTGAGATGGTAGCATAGAAGCTGCTTCGCTGCCCCTTCCTGCCAGACTCTGAAAATAAGGGTGATTTAAGTTCAAGGACTTCAGAAGGTCTTCCATGAATTTTTTCATGGATATATGTGCCGTGAAAATGAGATATAAGGCTGATTGTCACTGGGGTCATCGTGGTCAAGACAAGAAAAATGTTGACAACAACTGCAAACAGACACATCACGTCAGTGGCATTGTAGGTTTGTTCCAAGCCCCTTTCACTTTGGTTCTGTTTATATTTGTTGTGGATATTTTCAGGTGAGCCGTCACAAAGGGGCTTGCTGCAGAGTGACACGATCGAAGGGGTTGTTGTCGAGCCTCCACCACCTTCCCTGACACTCCTTGTATCTCAGTCTGAGTGTGAAAGCTCTCCATCTTAGCTTGATGCATAATATCACACACTCTTTATATCCCAATTTCAAGTAATTTTCAAGATAACACACTCAGAAGCTTGGTCCAAACTGCTGGACAACCACTCTTTGTTCACAAGGCTCTTACTCCTTTCACCACATGGTAAGTCCCAAATTTCGGCTTGAAACACAATGCTTGGAGCTCAAAAAACATTTCTAGCTCCGATTTTCCTGGTTTCTTTGTTTGCTTCAAGCTCAGCGACACGTCACATTGATGCCTCCTACCACTCCACCCTGGCCTCAGTGCCCCAATGATCAATCCATCTTCCATCCTACCTAGGACCCCGGGGACACCTCGACATCGCAAATACCCTCGAACAAATTGTTTACAGGGCATAAAGACGAAAATGCCAAAGAATCTCGACGTAGATGCCATCAAATCATGTCTCAAGCAGAGGTTCAAGCTGTCATATCATCTGGATGATTGGCAGGCCCATCTCATATGCAGAATACTACAGGGATATGACAGTATCTTCTGTTCAGGTACTGGCTATGGCAAGAGTTTGATTTTCGAAGGTTTGGCAGCTTTGGGAGGGAAAGGGAAGCTGGTGATGGTGATATCCCCACTTAAGGCTCTCAAGCGGGACCAGGTATGTTCTTGTGGTTGATTATGGGTATTCCTTTCATGGAGGATGTATCATAGGTCAAACAAGCAACACAGAAAGGCCTAGATGCATTCACCATCAATGAAGACACTTACAAGACTGCGAAACTCTGGGCGCCTTGGAAGTCTTCTCCAGTTACAATCTCAGTCTCCTCACCTGTTGTCCAGGGTAGATTCTGATGTCTATAATGGTTGGGAGATGCAGCAAAGGTGTGCAAAATGCCCCAGAGAAATGGAGCTGCCTCCTTATACTTTGCTGCTATGCTCTCTGGCTTGAGAAGCTCCTGAATCTTTTCCATGGTAAGATCACTGAGCTTGATTCGAAGATTGCCATCATTGATGAGTTTATTGCTCTCCTCCAGTACTATTTCCTTTGTGCATCCCAGGATTACCATGTCATGAAGCCAGTGACAAGACTTGGGGTAGTTTTTGTGCCATAGCCAGAAGATCATTGCAGGAGGAAACTGTGTATCATCTGTGGTACCCATGGATGAATATGCCATAAATTTTCCAACTCTTTGCTTGACAACTATGAGCTTGCTGGAGAAGATGAATTCAAGAAGATTGGCGAGACTGAGCATCAAGAATATCAAGAGCGAGAACACAAGGTAACACTTCTTTTCCATTGAGAATTGTGAGGCAGGACCAAGTCTGTCCTGCCAGAAGTCATTGTCATATTGTAGGGAATCTGCACTGGCCATGGAGTGTCACTGAGCAGGTAGTGTACCTTGTCTCAGACATTTGCGACGTTCTTGACGAGCAGAGTGACATTGGTCACACAATGTGATATGGAACAAGAAAGGGCCATCTTATCCTTGACTGGTCATTTAAAAGTGCCAACCTTCATCTGGTATCATTTTTATTGGTAGAATGTGTTTAATGGATCCCAGATGTGCTCCCTTCAAGAGGATTATCCTTCAGGATCCTTCCATTTTTTTCTATCGCTTTATGAAGGTCAGCAGTCCAAACAGGCCTGTGACATGGAAAGCCAGGCATTTGCGGGTGCTGCATTGACTACGACTGCAGGAAAAATTGGTCTAGTGCATACTTCACACTATTATATACATATTGTATCTATATATCAAGGCCGGAAGGTGCGAGTTTGATTAACTAGGTGAGATTGAATGACCCTATGGTTTCTGATCACTTTGTGGCAAGCCCCTCATGTGAGGTTACTGGCATGGCACGGAGCAGGCTTGCTCCGAACCTAGTGGTTGTTTTACCAAGATGGCCGAAACTCATCTGCAGGCTGTTACATGCCTTCTTTCCATTACCGCAAGGCTGCTGTGGTCTCAGTCCCTGTAGTGTGTTGCTTTAACCCTTTACATTTCACATTTGCCATGAGCCAGGGCATCCCGGCTCAGAACAAACTTGGAGGCCACAAGTATAAAGCTGGCTTACTAGAGTCTAGGATATAATATGAAAAATAATTGAGGTGGAAAACAAGAGAACTTATTCAGAAATACGAAGCATTCATTGCTTATAGGTAACATGATTGGCAAGAACTCATCAACGCTTGTGCAGCTCTAGCCTTCTTCACCTCTTCTTTCCATCTCTTAACCTCGTCATAATAATTATCTGGCATCCCACCCACCTCCCTTTCCACAAAAGGGGTCAATTCAGTATATGTCTGACAAGCCAGACTGCCCCATTGCCTCGCCAAATCCAAAAAGGCGTCCAGCATTGGATATGTATCAATAAATTCCAGGAGTATTTCCATTTCAAAGTTGTACATGAAATACCAGGTGCTGATCCTGATGACAGCTTCATCCGACAGACCATGGAACATGATGACATAGATTTTGCCAGAGATATGATGAAGAAGTTCAATGTCAACACTTGCAGAGATTCGGCCATTGACAAGGGGGAATAGACGCCTGCTTGATGGAAAATTCTCCCAATCGTTGCACCAGGTTCGAGGCAGTCGGTCAGAAGGGTCTTTGTACAGATGGGGATTCAGGACAGAGAAATCCATTTCTAGCTGGGTCTATGAATGAATGTGAGTATGATATAGGTGAGATTATCATCTCGACTTACTGCCATCATTAGGAAGATGTAGCTGAAGTGATAGAACAAAAGGCACCATAGGAGCTTCAGCTTGAATAAGATTTATAGACCTATGATACAGATCAGTGTCTAATACATGACTTAGATGGGTCTGAAGCTATTTTACCCATGATTTAGCTCGATTTAGAGATGGTAGGCTCAGCACATGATGGACCCTTGATATGCCTGCCTGGCATCTACCCTTGGAAAATGCGTATAAATCTAATTTATTATCCTACAAACTACGTTTGTAGCTGTGCGAGTAAGAAAGAACCTGCAAGGTACACAGCAAGGAGTGTTGAACCCCACTGCATCAGTAAGGACTTAGCCATGACAAGCCTAAGAGCTCGGGCAACAGACCGGTGATCCGATGACTCAGCCTGAGTGACCGAAGGTCCAGGCAGGTCGAAAGCACATGGCTCCAGCTGAACCGGCATCCCGGCACTGATGGCCGCCTGATGGCATCGGTCCAAAAGTAAGAATAACAAAACAAAGAATGATCACGTATGGCTTTACTTACCTGGCAGCTTTCCTAGTCTCTCAGGTGGATGGTTGGCTCGCTGGGTAGATGAGAAACAAGAACCGTAACACCAGGGGCTCTGCCCCGGTACAGGTAAAACTTAGTATCATGAGCCAGGACACCAGGTTGCAGCACAAGATCATGATCGGGTTCACCTGGGAGCCAGGATATGAGCTCATATCCACCTGGCTCAGTCAGCAAGCGCAGTAATAGTACCTGGAAAGATTGGAAATATAGATAGGGTAGAATAGTATAAATACTGTCCATGTAACTAGCGGGAGGTCAGGTTTCTGGCCCCTGGAACGCTACCAAGCAAATTAGTACAGGTTTTGGTTAAGAGCTTCGAGTCCTAGACTCACCTGGAATAGTATTTAGTGACCTGGTCACGTTTTGTGTGCAAGAACCGTTCAGAAAGCAGTCAGTTCAGAAAGATACAGACAGACAGTCAGAAGTACAGTCCAGAATCCGTGTTAGTACCAGTAAAACTGCAACCAGGCAGACAGTATCAGTTCAGACACTGCACCAGGCAGTTAGTACACATTCAGGAAACTGCACCAGGCAGCCTGTTGGTATCAGATTGTGTTTGGTAACACAGAAAGTTCAGATTTGTGTCATTTCAGAATATTGCAATCAAACAAATTATATTCATTGTCAACCCTGAACTAGTATCCACAGTACAAGTATCGACCCAGTGTAACTTACCCCTTCGAACCGCAATTATTGAGTGTGTTAGGGTGTGTGTGTGTGTGTAGCACTTCGCCTTCCTTAGCATAGTTAGTACCTTTCACCCTTTAATCTGATTCCACATTTGGGCTAAATTCAAGACACTAAAGTTTCAACTCAGCATCAAGCCTGGGCTTCATGTTTACAGCATGACAGGGATTTTCAATTCCAACATGGGTCCATTATCCCATGGGGCTGCTTAATTAATAATACTAGGTGTCCTGTAAAGGATCTACCACAGGAAGGGTCTTCAACCCAGAAATAAGTATGAATCGGGCATATATTGCCAGAAGAGAGTGAGTCAAAGACATGACATGGTGGTAGAAATCCTAGATAAAGTTGTGGAAAAGGCCAAAAAATGGTGCATACGAGTACAGTATGTAGTAGTCTGAAGGAATAGGTAACTTGAAACAAAGCTAAAGGAATGACACAATCTAGACACAATCATGAGTCTATAGAAATCTATATCCTTTATATGTCCCATCTGCTCATAGATCACAAACATGGATGAACTATAGGGATGACGCCATGTCCCATGGACCAGATATCATTCAGTAAATCTACCTACTCCTGGTGTTTGTTCAAGTACAAGTCTAATACCTAGCACATGCCTCTTTATTGTGAGGATGAGTGAAATATGCAGTGGTAAACCTGTCTCTTGGTCTACTACCTTAGTGGTGGTTGAGTATGAAGGAATTATTATTCTACTAGGCCAAAACTTCAGCCTTATATACTACACAATGTATCTAGAAAGTTCTACTACTTTACTTATGTTTATATTTACTCAAAGGTTCCAGTAAGTAAGAGTATGAGGGGAGAAACATTTAGCAAGAGCAATGATGCTCAAATATTCCGGATGTTGCTGGATTGCTGAGACATGGCATGCCCGTCATTATGTCACAACCTGTATGTCAGTCACAACACTCTTGTAGCGATATCTGCCTCAGTACTTTCGAGTATATCGGAGAGTCAGTAGTTCAGTAGATAATTAAACACATGATTATTACACTAAAGTGTTAATGTACTAACCCTGTATTATCTATGCCCGGCGTTCCCCTGATGTACCATGTTGTTTAATCCTACCTACCTATCATCCGATAAACAAATATGTCCCAAAACAGATGAGAAGCCACCCATACCTTCTCTGCCTCTAGATATGCCTTTTTCGATGTGTCAAGCTATTCCAGCCTCCTCATGAATGAATAGTTCTAAAGAACAGAAATTTCCCCATTATCATGCTTTGATAAATGTACACCAAGGCTCTCTGAGCTCAATCTCAACATGCATTCCTCTTTCAGCACCACAAGTGACAAGTATTGTGATTTGAATGCAGTTGCACTCCAGCTGTTAGGCTGTTAGTCACTGGGTAGACAAACTCACAAGGAGTTTCCCTTGCCTATGCTCTGTATTTATACTATTTACTACTTAATCTAGTACTTTCTCCCCATTTCCTCTGGATTCCATCTTACTAAGCATGCCAAGACATGCCGTATCGCCGGAATATCACAACAACAAGTGATGGTGGAAAGGTACCTGGTGTCCACACCTTGATTGTATTGTTGGATAAGATGTCATAAATAGAAGCGAACTCCACTGTAAACTAGGAAAGTACTCTGTCAGTGAGGTCCCAGACATAAAATTTTTCCGAATGAAGGAAGACCACAAGGTCATCTGTGAAACATCATATGTGTTTGACAGTGCTGTGGGGAATACCATAGATTACTTCCAGCTCAACGTGGAAGAAAACACGTGTTGCTTTCAACCAAAGGTGGACAAAACTCGTCTGTGGCCTATTACCCGCTGTCTTTCTGTATCAATGTAATATTACCATTTAATGCTGCTCCCCGTATCGTGTCGCTTTAACCCCTTGCACTTCACCTTTGTCGTGGGCCGTGTTAGTGACCGATTACACAAACAAGATTAAACAACTAGGCATGACTCGCACTTTGGTCAGGCGCCTTGTGTTGTCCGCAGGTTTATGTGCAGGGAGCTATCGCTTAGTTGAGCGAGAGTGAGTTCAGACTAAGTTATCGGGTGAATAAACTTTAGTTCGAGACTGAGGTTTAAGACCTGCAGTCGAGCTACTTAAATACAGTTTGGGTCATGCTAAATATACTACAAGTGTCTGCAACGGTACTGTAAACATACGGAACCCTCATGGTAGTATGCGATCCAGGTCGGAGAATTAGTATAGCGAGATTACGAGAGAGTCGATAAGATAAGATAAAGCACGAAATCGTAATATTACCCCCCTGTTAAGGCAGTCGTCCTGACTGTGATGCTACTTTGTTTGGGGAGATAGGCTCCTACGAGAGAGGGTGCGTTTGGTTTTATCAGGTATTCTTGAATTGCCTGTACCAATGGATGGTCGACCTCGGATTCGGTTACAGATTCGTGTTCGGACCAGGAATCTGACTCATCTTCGTTCTCCCACCACTCCGCTGGAGGTCTGGTAATGAAGGAGACTTGTTCAAAGTCTTCGATGGCATCCCTGGCGTTGTCCAGGTCTTGCTCGTCCACCCAGGAATTTTCCTCTCTTGGATATCCTTTCCATTTGACGAGGTATTCGATTCCGGTGCTTCGTCTTCTTCCTCTTCCGCGGGGGGCTCTTTCCCTTCGATCTACTATTTCTTCCACTTCATACTGTTCTTGTCCGTCTACTAGGTCCGGTGGTGGAGGCAAGGGCTGTATTTGGATTGGGAACTCCGGCGGGTGATAAGGGGTGAGAAGGCTTTCGTTAAAACGATCGTGGATCTTCCAGGCGGAAGGAAGGCGCAATTTATATGCGGAGGCACCATGTTTGGATAGCACTTCGAATGGTCCGACGCGTTTATCCCCTAGCTTCTTCATTGGTTGAGGAAGATGCAGGTTTGTAGAGTCCAACCAGACTTTGTCTCCTAGTTGGTATTCTACCGCCGTTCTTTGGTGCTTGTCATATTGCTTTTTCATAGTTTCTGCGGCCTTCTCCAGGGCTTTAGCTGTTTGCTCGTGGACCTTTTGTATATCCGCTACGAAGTCCCTTGCTGCAGGGTTGGTGCCTTCTTTTATCGTGAGTGGAGCAAGATGAGGTTTTTGCCCATGATTGATTTCAAAGGGAGAATAACCCGTCGCGGAGTGCTTTCGGTTGTTGTGTTGGAAAGCCGCGAGCGGTAGCCACTCGCTCCAATCATTTTGTCTATGATTGATGAAGATACGGAGGTACTTTTCGATCTCTTGATTGGCCCTCTCGGTTTGCCCATCGGTTTGTGGGTGATACGCCGTGGACGGATTGCCTTGAATATGCAGCATTTCATAGAGTTCTTTCATGAATTTGGACATGAACTGGGGTCCCCTGTCCGAGATTACCTTTTGAGGCATTCCATGTTTGGCCCAAACGTGATCTCTAAGGATCTTGGCCCATCCTGCTGAGGTCAGTTCAGTGGAGCATGGTACGGGGATGACTTCCTTGGAAAATCGATCCACGATCATGAGGATAGCGTTGTACCCATTTGAGTCAGGTAGTTCACCAATCATGTCTACTGTGATGTGCTCCCATGGTCGTGTGGGTACGGCATGTGGATGCAGAGGTGCTCGTTTCCTCTGAGTGTTCGTTTTGGTCCTTTGGCAGGCTTCGCAGCCTTTCACATATCACTCCACGTCGTTTTTGAGTTTCGGCCACCAATACTCTCTTTGTACCAGCTCCTTGGTCTTTTCGATTCCGGGGTGCCCAGCAGTAATGTGATCGTGATGGATAGCGATTAATTCCCCTCGTAGT